GGGCCACATAGTGAGACTCTGTCTCAAAAAAAAAAACTGCAAAAAAAAAAAAAAAAAAAAAAAGAATGATAAACATGGAGATATACATGGGGGGAGGGAGTACATTGCAAAGTTCACAAGAATTTTAAAATAATTTTAAAGTAATTGGTGGGACCACACCTACGGTGCATCTTACAAGGGTACATGTGAAATTTACTAAGTGTAGAATACAAATGTCTTAACACAATAACTAAGAAAATGCTGTGAAGGCTATGTTAACCAGTTTGACAAAAGCATTTCAAATTGTATGTAAAACCAGTACATTGTACCCCATGATTGCATTGATGTACACAGCTATGATTTGGTAAAAAAAAAAAAAAAAAAAAAATTAAAAATAAATTTAAAAAAATAATTTCAAAATAATAGCTATACTTAAAAGAAATTGGGCTTGCCAGTGGGTCCAGAGGGCACATGAATGTTCCCCATCCTCTATCAGTAAGAAAATTCATGTGCTCTAGAAGACAGGCTTGAGAAGCACTGGCCTAGCTTGGCCCAGCCCTGTACCCGGAGAAAACCCAGGCTTGGACAGTGGTTCCCTATCCTGCCCCAGGGCCACAGCACCTGTCTAGTCCTTTGGTCGTGGGTGTGCCTGGAGGGTTGGTCTCAGCTGATACAGGGCTCCAAGTCAGAGCCCAGCCCCTGGAAAGAAGCCGCAGCTCTGCCCATGCTGTGTAACAGGGGCTTTTCTTTTCTCAACATCTCTAAGTGGCACGTAGAAAGAGACTGTGTAAGCCAAGGCAGGGAAGACAGGGAGGAACCTGTGAGAGGAATTTCTAGAATCGTTGTCTCCTTCATGGGAGGGTGCTGGGCAAATGAGATTCAGTAACAAGCAAGTCAAGTGCTGTAAAGAAGGGTTTCAGGCCCTCTGGTGATGGCCAGATAAGGCGTAACTATAGGAGAAGCATTTTCCAGTTGTCAGGAATGTTGGGAGTAGGTATGTTAAACAGCGAGTATGGCGGCTGTAGGAGCTGAGGGGTGGGGGACAGTGCTTTCCAGACACAGGTGTCACCAGAACAGCACTGCCAGCACTGTCTAGCAGACAGGCTATGTGGCAAAAAGTTAAGGAAACTTGGTGAAATTAAAACAAGGGCTTGAAACAGAGAGGGTGTCCTAACACATGCTGAATAGTAATTTGTAAAACTTTGTCTTTAAACAGAGCAGTTACTGGAATAGCAGTCTCTCGCAATGGGTCTTCAGTGTTCACGACATCACAAGGTTGGTTTTTCCACCTGCCCAGTGGCTTGGCCACAGTGATGAGGGTCTCAGCTCCGGGTCAGGGCTGTATTTACCTATTCTTTCTCCACGTAAAACACATTTAGAACACTTTATTTGTGTTAGATTACATAAAGTTCCATTGTAGTTTGCCAGAAACAATAAGGAAATGCCTTTCAGTTGCTAAGAAGGTTTCCTAGACTTGAGGCTACCAGATGGCAAGAGCCTCTGGTGGTCAGGGTCCTTCCTGTCCGGCATGAGGGTGTCAGGTCTTCCCACTGGCTTCCATCTTGAGTACAAGTGTTGTGTCACACAGGGGTGTTTGTGTCGGTTCGTGGAAATGCTGATTTGTTGTTAGGGTTTTCAGTATTGTCATTCAGCGTACACAGTATCCCAAAGGTCACCCCTAAGTTCACCACACACAGGGAAAATAGGAAATTGTGGCTAAATGGACCTTTATGTACAAAATATTTGTTAAAAATTTTAGAAAGAGGTGGCTAACACATAGAGAATATTTTGTAAATATTTTGTGAAGTTCTATAATGACTATTTTGTAAATAAAGGTCCATTTAGCTACAGTTTCCCATTTGTTCTGTATACAACAACTTTATGGGCAACCTCTGGGACACCTCTATGTTTCTCCAGGATGTTTGTTGTCCCGAATTTAGCTTGAAGTCTAATTCATGTCTAATTAATGTGCTTAATACATTACCGATGTTACAGAAACCCTGGCAGGGGGTATATGACTGGTAACTCTATTTCAATAACTGGTATTGGCTGTCTTCATCTGAAAAGATAACAGCTAAGCAGAGGGTATCTCTTGCTATACCCACCAGTGCTTTCCACTGGTGGTCCGTGCAGTACGGCATTATGAAAGTGCCTCTTGTCTCTGTCACACTCAGAGCACTGAGTTGGCCTGCTGGTGGACGTAGAGGTGAAAAGGGTAATATTCTCTTCCTGCTTCTGTGATAAGATGACTAATTCTTAGCTTCTTGTTCTTTAGTCGTTAGTATAGGAAATTAGAGTTTTTTCATCCATTAAGAAAAGGTGCTATCCAACTAAATGCTAAATCAGTCACTGACTCTCAGATTCCGCTGGTTTATCATTTATAGCCTTTCATTTCTTTTCTCTTTCAAATACTATCCCAGATGGTATAAAACAGGATTTTCTACAAAGCATAGAACATGGCGGCAGTGTCCATGCTGGGCCACACCAGGGTCTCCAAGTCGCTTCTCTGATAGAAGGAAGTGGTCTGTTTTGCCAGGATTTCTACCTTCTGAGTTTGCCGAGGTTACAGCACCTAATAGAATGCCTTATCTTGAAGCAAAGCCCATGTTCTCAGCCAGATTTGTCTGGCTTGGTCTGTTAAACCCTTCATTTCATTGTTCTTGTATGACCCTGCAAACTGCATTTTATGAGCATCAGCCCCACAGCTCTGTGGCTTAGTGAGCCTTATGGCACTTCCTTGTGCTTGAAAAGCTCTTACAAAGTCAGAGCTTCTGTTTCTTTCTGTTTATTCCTTCTTGCGTTCAGACGTTTGTAACCCGTGTTACTGTGTGTAGCCTGATGGGCACCTCTGAGTTGCATTTCTTCCTCAGATATGCAGAATGCTCAGAGAAAAAAGAAACTTTACTCACCTGGCTGATTCATGGTTTTCTGTAGGAGGCCCCAGGTTAATCATCTTGAATAGACTTTGTGGCCAGTATTCAGAATTGCCTAACAGAATCTGAAACCAGTTTGGGAGGATTATCAGAGCTAATCATACAGCTCGGGGAAAACTCAGGGAAAACTCAGGGGCTGTGGTGTCCATTCCTTTTTTTGTTTTCAAGTTAATTCAGAAGAATAGGCTTGGTGCCTGTTGCTCAAGTGGCTAAGGCGCCAGCCACATACACCTAAGGTGGTGGGTTCGAATCCAGCCTAGGCCCATCAAAACAACAGTGACGGCTGCAACCAAAAAAAATAGCCGGGCTTTGTGGTGGGTGCCTGTGGTCCCAGCTACTAGGGAGGCTGAGGCAGAAGACTCGGTTGAGCCCAGGAGTTGGAGCTTGCTCTGAGCTGTGATGCCAAGGCACTCTACCCAGGGGGACGGCTTGAGGCTCTGTCTCAAAGAAAAAAAAAAAAATTCAGAAGAATGTCTTACTGAGTGAGACTCATGTTTATAAATTCTCAGGACTTCTGTGTGTTGGTGTAATTAGGTTGAAATAATAAAGTTTTACAATATAGAAGATGTTATTTAAAGCTTATTCTGATATTTTATTTGTCATGTGGTATGGTTATAAGTTAGGAAATGGATTGTTACATATCAGAGGTATGGCATTTTTAAAGCACATTAGAGCATTGTGCTCTGTGAATCTCAGTTTTTAGAGGTTGTTTTGGTAAACTTTTAAGACTTCTGTTAGGCAAGGAAATTAAAAGCTTAGATTTTTAATTCCTACTTTATTATTATTTAGAAAGTTAGTGGTTCCCTTTTATAAATGCTTATTTGGAACAAGGTTTTAACACTATAATTGAGCTATTTATTATTTTTTTTTAAACTTACATTGCCAAGAACTTTTTGTTTTCTTTAATATTAAAATCACTGTTTTAATATTAATTGTAAAATTGCTGTTTTCATCCTCTATAACTTTTAGTTTATATCAATTAGGCTTACCTCTGTGATCAGTCATGCTGCAAATGTCAATAGTAAGCCTCATCTGTGCTGGGTTTTATTTTATTTTATTTTATTTTGAGACAGAGCCTCAAGCTGTCCCCCTGGGTAGAGCGCTGTGGCATCACATCTCACAGCAATCTCCAACTCCTAGGCTCAAGCAAGTTTCTTGCCTC